AGACTAGAGCAGAAACACAAGTAGAAATGATGTTTTAGAAGATGACAAATGTGTCCTGCTCAACTGAGAATTTAGACAGCCTGTAGCTTTTCTGAAGGTGGGAGGAAGCATAAAATGTTACAGCATCACACATCGATAATGTAAAAAAAAGAAATCTTTGAAAAGACATGTAAAAGATGTGTAATTACTAACAATTGTGTTCCTATACTTTTCAGGGAAAGCAGGGAAATAAACACGCTGCATGATAAACACATAAGGTGTTCAGTCTCACAGGGAAACAGGTAATGGCTTCAATAGAAAAAAAAGCTACATTGAAGTTGTATCTAACAATACATTGTGATTGTTTTAGTATCTATTTTAATACTACATTAGAAAAGTACCTGATTAAAAGCCAAAAAAAAATTGAAACATTCTCAGTTACATGGACTAGGCAATGTAGTCTACAGGCACTATTTCTTGAGTCTCACTGCATAATTTTACACCTTATAGGCCTTGTCTTTTTTTGCTTTCAAAAGCAGTGTCTACAACAAACAGAGATACACCAGCTAAAGCCAGGGTTACAGGTTTTGTACAGGATTTGGGAGATCAAGGCTGTACTCGCAACCCAGTTACAGACTGTTCATGACCTTGGTTAAATCAGTCCAGGCAAGATCACAAAACAGACCTCAGTGCAAGATGGTCTTTAGAGTTCAAGCCCTTTCTCTGCCTGAGGACACACCAGCCTTGCATCTCTCTAGGCTTGTTTCTCCCTGGTCTACAATGTACAATGGAAGCACAGACATTGATAGCAGCTCTAGATCTACCAACTCAGGAAAGGTTGCATGTGGTTAACAAGTCCTGCAGGGACATGGTGCTGCATGATTAAATACACCAAGGAAAGTGCCTGCTCAAGGACCACGGTACGGACATGTGCATGCCTTCTCTTAAAGATGTAATGCAAAATAAAGCAGTTTCTACAGAACAGATGAAAAGAGGTAAATTTCTTATCAGTTAATCACAGCAACTCCCCACCTTAACCAAGATCCA